CCTGGGATTAAAGACAATGTCAGGAAATGTACGGTGCGGTTACAAGAGGAGCCAGTACTAGCATTTCCCGATTTTGAAAAAAACATTTGTTATCACTACGGACTGAGTATGCATTAGTGGCGGTACTTGCTCAGGAGGGAATCAAGGGCGAACAACCGGTGGCGTACGCGAATAGGCGACTAACAGAAACGGAGGCTAGGTATAGCGCTTTGGAGAGGGAGCTTCTAGGGATAGTATGGGCAGTGGGCCACTTAAGGCCGTATATTTTCGGAAGAAAATTCAAAGTTCAGGCAGATCACCGACCGTTGCTATGGGTAGGGAATCTTAAAGAGTCGTCAGCCAAGGTCACTCGGTGGAAACAATTCCTGAGCCAATACAATATGGAAATAACGTACAAGCCAGGTAAAGAAAACGTAATGGCGGACTGGCTGTCTAGAGCTATCACTGTAAATGCCATCGAGGAAGAAGAAGGGAAAACGTCACGGGACGTGCGACGATTTCTCAGAGCATGGACGATTGAGGGAGAAGGGGAGAGTGAGAACGTGTGAACGAGGGAAGCAGAGGAATCCCAAGAAGAGGAAGGATCGGTAGAGGAGAAGCCAATTGACATGGAGGAACTGTACGGTGCGGTTACAAGAGGAGCCAGTACTAGCATTTCCCGATTTTGAAAAAAACATTTGTTATCACTACGGACTGAGTATGCATTAGTGGCGGTACTTGCTCAGGAGGGAATCAAGGGCGAACAACCGGTGGCGTACGCGAATAGGCGACTAACAGAAACGGAGGCTAGGTATAGCGCTTTGGAGAGGGAGCTTCTAGGGATAGTATGGGCAGTGGGCCACTTAAGGCCGTATATTTTCGGAAGAAAATTCAAAGTTCAGGCAGATCACCGACCGTTGCTATGGGTAGGGAATCTTAAAGAGTCGTCAGCCAAGGTCACTCGGTGGAAACAATTCCTGAGCCAATACAATATGGAAATAACGTACAAGCCAGGTAAAGAAAACGTAATGGCGGACTGGCTGTCTAGAGCTATCACTGTAAATGCCATCGAGGAAGAAGAAGGGAAAACGTCACGGGACGTGCGGCGATTTCTCAGAGCATGGACGATTGAGGGAGAAGGGGAGAGTGAGAACGTGTGAACGAGGGAAGCAGAGGAATCCCAAGAAGAGGAAGGATCGGTAGAGGAGAAGCCAATTGACATGGAGGAACTGGGGGAAATTGGCAATGACAAACGGCGCCAGATGAAATGGAAAGCAAGAACTGAAGTGTAAATTTAAATTGACTATAGACAATGCGGCAAGAACAAAATCACCACTATTTGGTCGCAACCAGAGACGCGGGAGGAACAAATATACAAGGCTCTGAAGGACGCGTCAGAACCAGGGAAAACGAATTACCTATATATGGGGAATGCCACGATATAGGACAAGATTAAAAGAATCTGGAGATCGGAGAAGATTGAAGTAGACAGGATCTTTATTTGGTGGAAGTATTTGATGGAGACGGTGTCGGATGTGGAGCAGCAGAAAGAGGTGACACTAGCGTACCATCAAGGTAAAACAAACTACCGTGGGGTGAATGAATCATTGCAAGCGCTACAAAGGAAATACTTCTAGGAAGGGATGAAGAGAACGATTGGAGACATCATAAACGCATGTGAAGTATGCGCACGCACAAAATACGAAGGGCATCCCCCCCCTCTCCTAAGGAAACAAGAAGAAACCCCTACCGGAGACTGTATGTATAGCCGAATGTATATCCAGGAGTGTAAAGTATGTAAATAGAGAATTAGGAAAGTGTATTTATTTTATGTTTATGTTTTTTTTAAGTTGTTATCAGTAGATAAGAAATGCGGGAGCTGGGACACCGATTGCTCCATCCCCTCCACCCAGCCTTAAGTACCGCGTGGTCTGCCGTCTGGCCAGCCTTAACCATCACGTGGTCGGCCGCCCGGCCAGCCTTAACCACCACGTGGTCGGACGCCCGGCCAGCCTTAACCACCACGTGGTCAGTCACGTGACCCTTAGGCCACGCCCACTTTTACCTTATATCTATCTTAACCACCTAGCCACTCCCCTTTTTTAGTCACGTGATCAGTCACGTGACCATTTGCCACGCCCCTTTTCGATCGTGCGACCTCCACATTTTCCCTCCACTCTTCCCTCGGAGGCTGAGTGTGCCCGGCCGCCATCTTGTTTTCTGATACGAGGTTTTCTTCTTGTATGACGTCATCAGACCCTTTTTGATCGTGTATCTCCTACACTGATTACAGGACGAGTAAACTGGGACAAATTTCGTAAATAACTGGAAATAAATTGGACCTAAATATTCCACTTAAGACGAAACGTGACATTGACACAGCCATAGAAGTACTTACTACATCTATAAGTGACAAAATAAACGATAATACATCTACCAATAAAACTGAAAACTCCCAACAGACAAATTTGCCGCAGCATATTCGTATCTTATTAAGAAAAACACAGAGCAAGATCGAAGTGGCACAGGACTAGATACCCATCAGATAAGACATATTACAACAAATTAACTAACCAACTAAAAGCTGAAATTAGAAAATACAAAGTTCAAAATTTATTTAACATGACAGAAAAACTTACTACTTCTGACAAATCACTATGGTTGACCATTTAAAAAGCTCCTTAAATTCAAAGATTTTAACCACCCACTTATTACTGAAACCCAAACCTAGTTCAGATCTGACGAGCAAAAATCTCAAATATTTGCTCAGCACCTCTCAAAAACATTTAATCCACACCCAGACATCCTTAATCCAACCCATCTTGAGTTTATTGAAGCAGAGTTGGATATCCCACTCCAATTGACTCCTCCACCTAAAGCATTTCATCCTTCAGAAATATCCAATATCATTAATAGATTACCTTCCCGCAAAGCTTCTGGCCATGACCTAATCACATCCCAGATCCTAAAATTTCTTCCTAAAAAGGCCATACTGTTCCTAACCTATATATTTAATGCTGTACTCCGAACCACATATTTTCCTGACTCTTGGAAACTATCCATTCTCAAAATGATACCTAAACCCATAAAGCCGCCAGAACACACACCCTCTTACCGTCCTATCTCCCTTTTACCCATTATGGGCAAAATCCTCGAAAAACTCATTTCACGCCTGCATCCCATTCTAGATTCTAAACACATAATCCCAGATCACCAATTTGGATTCCGCAAATCCCACTCCACTATTCAGCAATGCCATCGTGTGGTAGATGTAATCTCCTCTGCATTGGAGCGCGTAATGTACTGCACGGGAGTCTTTCTCGACGTTGAACAGGCGTTTGATAGCGTCTGGCATCCGGGACTGAGGTACAAACTCCGTAAATTCCTACCATCTACATACTTTCTCATTATCCGTTCCTACCTTACTGACAGATACTTCAAAGTCAATCATAACAATGCTTATTCATCTCGTTTTACTCAGTCTGCCGGTGTTCCTCAAGGTAGTATCCTAGGTCCTATCCTTTACACAGTTTATACAGCTGACATCCCAACCCAATCCAACACTGTCATCACCACCTATGCTGGTGACACGTGTATCCTATCAGTTAATAACGATCCATCAATTGCATCCCAAACTCTTCAATCACACATCACAAATCTTGAAAAATGGTGTCAAAACTGGAGGATTAAAATAAATTCCATCAAATTACCTTCACTCTTCGCCGTAAACCTATGAATTTCTGTCCTACAGTATCCTTCAACAATAGCCCTCTTATCCCTGTCGAACAAATCCGATACTTAGGACTCCACCTTGACAAATGACTCACTTGGAACTCCCATACCAGACTGAAACGACTAGAAACCGCCCGACATTTTCGACTACTGCAGCACTTACTAGACTAAGCTTTCAATAAATTACAAACGACTCATATATATGACAATAATAAGACCTATTTGGATTTACGGAATTGAGCTTTGGGACTCCACTAAGCCATCGAATTCCTCTCGTATCCAATCCTTACAATCCAAATCCTTCGTAAAATCCTCAACGCTCCTTACTTTGTCACAAATAAAATCATCCATAAAGACCTTAATGTTCCATATATTTCTGATTTGGCCCAATCCAGATACCTATCCTTCCATAACAAACTGCAGAACCATCCGAATCCTCTCGTTTCAAACCTTGCTTCCCTGATAACCCTCCGAGGCGTCTGAAAAGAAGATGGCCTCGGGACCTTCTAATACAGAACTTTAATTTGAGTTCTACAAATGGGTAGTTTCTCTTCATGTTGTGCATGTCATGTTAATAATGTCACATTTACATATTGTATTTTCTATGTAATACAGTTGTAAATTTTATTAAAATAAAAAAAAAATCTCTGGTAATCCTCTATACATAGTGTTAGTCTTTGTTCACCTAATCTCTCAAGGATTAAATACAATATTCGTTGGCTGCCACCCATAACTCCCCCATGCCAGTTTATGAACACCTTTCATAAACTAACGCAGGGAAACAAAAATTAAATCATGCCTTATGTATACAAAGAAAGAAAAAAAACGTTTTGCAACTCTTATACTATAAAATACAGTAATAGAAGAAGAAAATAAGGATAACAGTAGATAGTCCCGGGGGTTATTGGTCATTGAAGTTGAAGTGGTTTCGGAAGCGACTTCATTTAAATATCAGTGTTTTTTTTTTGTTTTTTTTTTCATTACTACTAAGATAATAAAAGATTTTCGGGAATTTGGGCTACAAATAAAATATTTCCTATTTTGGTTTTGATATTTCAATTAAGATAGAAAATATAGTTTTTGCTTATTCTGAAAAATTCCCAATGATGATAAGGATTTATTTTGGAAACAAACAACTTATATACGTTAATTCTCAATCTATTTAGAAATAAAATAAAATTTATAAATATTTTATTTAAAAAAAAGGTTTACACCATGACTTCTTATACATAAATGTTATAATAATAATAAAAATACGATTTAATAATTTAGTGAAATTTTATAAATACCTTGATATTTAAAACGATGCAATGCGCGTTCCCAATAATCATGAGCGTTGAAAGGATCAGGTCTTAAGCTTTTGGCGAAATAGCCGTCTAATAACCTATGCTGTGTACGAAACCGGTCGTCGACAACTGATCTGCAGATAGCTCTTTCTATACAAGAAATATGTGTCAAATCAAAGTTATCTTTGAAACAGTAAATTGTAAAGCACACGATACTTACCCAAAAAGTGTGGTTCACGATAAACGATACAGGTTTCTGGAAAAAAAAATCAATACACATGCACATTATATTATATTAATTACGTTGGTAAGATCTATAACAAAGATATATTTATTAATTGAATGTACAGCTATTTATTTTCTTTATCAATGCATACCTGGTACTTCTTGAGATAAATATTTGTAAAAGTTTCCATCTACTTGGGGGTCTGTAACGGTGCCAATGAAGTTGGCAGCAGTGTCGATGTAGTTGTAAACCATGGGGTCGTCATCGTTATAAATAGCTCCTATACTTTGCTTTTGAACTAGACAAAATTGTATTATAAAAACATCTTCTTAAATAAAAAAAAAATATATAAAAATAAATTATATAAAAATATATAAGGATATATCATGATTTCAACTTTATTATTACTATGTCGTATGTCTTGTATACCTATGAGCTGTATAAATTTGAAATATACATGATGTCCGTGATCCTCCCCTCTCGGTATGTGTGTCTCGTCAGTCTACTGGAGGCGTTGGAAAATTCCAACAAAGTTTTTGTCTTTAAAGAATAAAATGACCCATCAACGTTCCGCCAATTCGCATCAAGACAGAAAAAGAAAAGAAATCCAAGATCACATCACTCCATGATATCCAATCGCTTTCTGGAAGAAAGATGAGGTACATCTAAAGCAATTTCAGAAAGTCTTATTTTTTATTTTTTTCTCATCTCATTGGACGGACAAATCGAATAATGAACTATTGACCTTTTTTCAATTTACGATCCTCAAAATAATGATGATCATGATGTTACGAAACGTTGACGGGTTATTTTATTCTTTACATAAATTATAGAGACACAAGGCTCTGTGGTCGAAATTTTCCAATCATAATTTAATATCGATTTTCTGCCTGGTGGTGATTGTTTACTCGTTTACATTGATATGAATAATTGTATGCATATATGTTGGCTGCAAAATTTATTATGGCTTTTTTTTGTCTGAATATACTGAATTCCTTCAGCAGAGATTAGTCTTCAGAGAAAATGTCTGAAATTAGTAAGCTTCAAAATCGTCTTGGACTATGTAGGATTAATTAATTAAAAAGGATGCCTTGGACCAACCAGAACAAAAAAGACAAACAAAATTGAAAAAACACAATTCCACTAACCTGGGCTGTATAAAAACTGCAGCTATAATCTTAATGTTTATGAAGTCTGACCTTAGACATTTAGCGCCCCTGGGCAATGACGTCATCTCCCCCAAAATAAGTTAAGTTTATTTCTTAAGCTGCTTGATATTAAGTAATATTTGAATCTTATTTCATTTAATATTTCTCTAATTCAATTTCTTTATTAAGAGCCTAAAATTGATGATTCTCATACAGTTTGTTGCGTATTCATACGATTTTATTCTTAACAAGTGAAGGGCGCCCCCTTCAAGTCGACGCCCCCGGACAATCGCCCGATCCAAAGGCCGGCATTGATGAAGTCTAATCTCTTCTCTACAAGGACTAAACTGAGACAGATTGTAAGATTTCTCAATAAACGAGTAAAACAAAAAGACAAAAGAAAAAGGACTATTTTCTAGAAGAGATGACAACTTCAGGAAAAACTTCTACAACAATCTTAAATTATTATTTATTATCAGATGATGGATTTGGAAACTTAAACAAAATAAAAATAAATTATAACAGAAAACTATCATCAACAAATGTTTAAAGTGTTCTCCCTCTTCTTTTATGCATAAAGTGGACATCCTTCACACGGAATCTGACTTACTGGGTACTGGTAGATTTTCATACATTACGTTGCAACTTGCGTGGATGTGTTTTACTAATTCTTCTAGAGATTCTGTTCTCACTTCATAGTTTGGACTAAGAGCTAGACTACTCCCTGGCCAGCTAATCCTACCCACCTATCCCTGAAAGTAATGTTTATATATTGTGACCCAACGAAGCTGTTATTATGAGCCCATTTGGAATCACGGATCTCTGCTTTAATCCAGCGTCATTCCCCAGTTAAATCGAAGATATCTATATAAAAAAAAAATATGTGTCTGAAGGCATAAGAATTCAGCCGGCATTCCAATATCAGTAGATCAAGAAGCTTATTTCTTATAATATCCTACCATATGTATAACTGAATTCATATGGGTTGTCATATGATCACATATGTCAATTGTTCAAATGAAGAATATCGTAATTATTCTTTATTATTATTCTTCTGTTGCCTAGTCCGTCCACCGAATTTCGTCTGTCTCACAGACTTACAGAATGAAAGCTTATTCATTGCATATATCTTCCGAGAACAATAATCTCTCCTGCAGAATAAAGAGCTAACTCTTCATTAATACTGATTTTTAATAGTTTATAAATAGAGCTTTTCAATTGTATTTTACATGTTCGTGGTTAAAAAATACAATTAAAAGCTCTATTTATAAACTATTAAAAGTCAGTATTAATGAAGAGTTAGCTCTTTATTCTGCAGGAGAGATTATTGTTCTCGGAAGATATATGTAATTAATAAGCTTTCATTCTGTAAGTCTGTGAGACAGACGAAATTCGGTGGACGGACTAGGCAACAGAAGAATAATAATAAAGAACAATTACAATATTCTTCATATAAAATATAATACATAAAAAAAAAGTAAAAAAAATAAAAATAAAACAATTGTATTAAAAACAATCTGTTTTATATAATGAACCTGGTAATAATTTTCAAATTCAATTTCAATTTACCATTACTTATTTCATTTAACTTAGTAAGTACATGTTATAATATAAAAACATTATTTGTAATCAAGAATAGCGAATACGAGAGCCATAAAATTTGTTTAAATGAAATTAAAAATAATTTATATATATAAAGGATGTCCCGTAAGTAGAGGGAATTTTTTATAGAAGTGATAGCAGACCTCCAGAGCTACAAAAAGGTTCATATAAACAATAGGCCAATTTCCAGCAGAAAATATGAAACTCCAAGTTTAGTGTTTTTTAAGTGTCATGTTTTTTGTTGAATAGAAAAGGATAATTTAATTTAAGTAATTTACGATTGCTTCACCGTAAACAAGATAAAATTTACTTTAAATTAACAAGAATTTTGTGATTGTTAAAAATATTTAAAGATAATTAAGCTATGTTTTGTTATTAAAAAAATCACAAATTATTCGTGATTTTTTTTTCATTAAACTATACTACAGATAGTATAGCGGATCCAGGATTTAATTTCAGGGTAGGGGCTTCAGCCCAAAAGCTTTTTTTTATATATATAAAACAATAATTACTTTGGGAAAAAAAGGAAAATAATAACTACCTATATGAAATGGTGCTTAAGTGATTCTTGAAATCCTATTAAATGTAATTGCACGAACAATAATACTTTAAGAGGTAATTTTTTAATATTTTTTACCATAAACATGGTTACAATTTACCATTTTGAGAGAGAGGGAGCTTCATTTCGAAAGCTCCCCTCCCTCGTAGATCCGCCTGTGCTACACATTCCCCACTTTTAGAAAAACTTCTTCGTTTAATAAGCTTTATGTCCATATTAAATAAGTTGAGGTTTATTAGCCAAAAATTCGAGATACACCTCAAGATATACAATAACATTATGTGATTTTTTATGCTGTCGCCTAAAAGTACCCATGTTTTCATGCAAAAATTACTATAATCAATTGTTGAAAATCTTTTATTTCTTGTTTTTTCTATGATCTGGGATATATCATAACAAACATAATTGCCTAAATACACATTTATTTATAGTTTTTCAAAATAATCATTTTTTTAAATTTTTTTCATGTTACGTGGCTATGAAACTGGTTTTCTCTCAGATCTCCATTATAGAAACTGATCCATATTTATAAATGATCAACTATATCTTTCTGATCTTAATATTTTCGTTTTCATGAAAATAATTGAAGCAATCTGCATGTTTCTTTATTTTAAACGCACATTTTAGTAATAATTGGCCCGTTGCTTATATGAACTTTCTTTAGCACTTAAGATCTGCTCCTAAACAATTTCCCTCAACTTACGAGACACTCTATATATAAATGATATATAATAGAGTTATATATAAATTATTATACAAAAATATAAGTTACATATATATATATACATATAAGGTAACATTTCTTTTATATATACTTTATAGTTTTGACCCCATCCATCCTTTGTCTAATTGCTTCCTTGTCTTATATTTGTTACTGTACAGTTTGTGCTTTAATTTAACTTTAATATTTTAAAATTAAATTATTTCATTTCATAATAGATTTGATCACTCTAATAATATAATAATAATAATAATAAGCAAGACTTTATTTACCAAGAAAAGAAGGTGGGGGAGGTCTCATAAACATTGAAGAGGGGTGTCGGAAACAAGAAATGACCCTCAGAGAATACTTCAAACAAAGTGAAGTACCTTTTCATAGGATAATGTGCAATCTCGACCATGGACACTCAGCATTACAACTAGCCACTCCAGAAACTGCTGCATCCGTAATTTTCACGGACAATGACCGACTGGAAGAATGGAAGTCAAAAACGCTGAATGGAAGATTTTTTTCACCAACTCCAGCAAACTGAAATAGATAAAACATTCTCTACCAGTTGGTTGGTTAAAGGAAATCTGTTTCCCGAGACAGAGGGCTTTCTGATAGCAATCCAAGATCAGGTCATAGCAACGAGGTCTTACTTGCGACATGTCTTGAAGCAACAGACAGTATCAGACAAGTGTAGGCTCTGTGCCAGCACGTTCGAGTCTATTCAGCACATAACTGGAGGGTGCGGAGTGCTGGCTGGTACAGAATATCTCAAGAGACATGACGATGTTGCAAAAATTTATCATCAGGCAATTGGTCTAAAAATAAACTTAGTGAATGATTCAATACATTATTATAAGAACAACCCTAAAGAACTTATCCAGAAGGAAGGAATGAAATTGTATTGGAATCAATCTTTTATAACAGATCATACTGTGCTCCATAACAGATCTGATATCGTGTTGATCAACAGTAATATGAAAACAGCAGAGATAATAGATATCGCTGTACCGAATGATGGGAACACCAACTCAGTCTGCGCCGAAAAAATACGGAAATATCAAACTCTTGCAGCCGAGTTAAAAGATCTGTACAGACTGAACAAAGTGACAGTAAGGGCTTTAGTGATCTCTAGCAATGGGTTGATTCCAAAATCCACTGTAAAAGCTACCGAGAAGTTAGGCCTATCAACAGCTACGATAAATGAAGCCCAGAAAGCTGTGATGCTGAACACTGCGAGAATAGTAAGGAGCTTCCTTAATATCCGATAAAACTACAAA